CACGTGTACTGCTTAAAACATTCATTGTTCTGACAGATTTTTATATGATGTAATTTTAAAAACTAGTGCAAGTTGTCTACGGATGAGCGATTCTAAAAATCTCAAGATTGGGGATGGATGGATGGATTTATTTGGGGCAAACACCAAGGATAACCAAGTCTGAAGGAAACATGGGTCCGTCTAGTGGTGATTGGCCAGTACACCAAGACACAATCCTCTACTCTTTTCCAAATAATGTAGTGCGTTCTTTAACAATAACGTACATGGGCCATAATGAACACAGGACCAACGGCTTAAACATCTCATCCAAAAAAATGGTGTGCTACAGTATTGTAACTTGTATTTTCAGCCCTCTAGCTGAAATAAAAGAACAGTGATGGGAATTTGAACGAGGAGAGGACCAAGAGATTTCTACAATTCATCACAAACACAGTGGCTACTACCAGTTAAGCCAACTGAGCTAAGCTGCAGCTCTCATGGTTTACACTTACTGTAGTACACTTTTTTCTTTTCATAAGAACCAGAAAAATTTTACACAAGCTCAGTGTTCTTGTTTTTTGGACCGATTCATGCTCAAAATATTTTTATTCTGTTCTTATTTTTTTACACACTTTTAAAACATAGAAAATCATTATTGTAAAGCATTTAATTACTGACTGTATCATAGAGGGTATTACATAGTCACACCTACTGCAAATAACATACAGATAAGATTTGTTGGCTTTTTTATTTAAAAAAATAAAATAAAAACATCATTTGACAATTTAAGTCAGCCTCAATTTGTTCTTAATTTTTAAGCAATTTCAGCCTCAGTGTTCTTATAAAATGTTTTCTTATAGAAAAAAAAAAAGGGTAGCACAGTTGGCATCTGTCCTATATTTTGTTTCCTTTGATGTTCTTTATCGTTAAATCTGGTGTAGTTTTTTTGTGTGTTTCCCCCTCCTGAGAGGCATAGAAACTATGTTATCGTTTGGCAGTTAACCCTGTAGGAGCAAGTAACTCTGAGGAAGTCCATGATGGGTATTACTACCACACAGTACTGGGCGCCCTATTAGAGATCAAAACTCAAACAAATTGTGTTAGAAAATCGAACATGCGTCATAAAAACGCAGCACATGTTTGATATGGATGCCTTTTTTACTGTCTTTTGAAGGACCTTTGAAGGTACAATGAGGATTGCATTTCATTGACGTTCTCAGAGACCGAGAGTTTGACTTTTTGGTTTTACCACTGATCCTAAATATATAATTCCATTCTTCTGTTTAATTTGTCCAGTTCTTCCCGGCTTAGCTTGCTTGTTTGGTGCATTGTTTTGCCTGTTCTTGACTAATTTCTGAATAATTATTTTTAATTATTATTATTACTTAAGGTTAATTTAAAATAATTAAGATCAGTCCAAGAGCCTAATTACAGGCCTTGGCCTCCTTGGGTCCAGGGCACTTGTTTGTAGGCCTACTAGTGTAGTATTTAAGTGAACAAGTGAATAAAGTGTCTAAAGTCTACAAGTGTCTAAAGATAGCTTTAAATACCTGAAAGTCTGAAACCAAAATACAATATTTAAGGCAATAGACAACCGCTGGGAGCCTATTTTCTTTACTGTGTTGTTAAGGCAAATTTCTTCTTTCTTGTAATGTGCTCCTGACAGGAAATTGCAAAAATAATGTTGAATGTTGAGCTCCCATGAATAATTATTACAAGGTTCATTGCCATGGATATGCACAATGAAAATGAATTTAATACAAAATGCCAATTGTTCATAGAAACCTGAATGTGAATCATATACAATGAGCAACCGTTCAAGAATGCTAAATGGTGGTGTGATATTTAATCCATTGATATTTGAGTTATTTTTTAGCTAAGTATTAGGAAGCTTACTTGCTAATAATCGACTATACTATGGATGAAAAATGAGGTCAGTGAGTTTAACCGAATGATGTTCTGATTGCTTGACTGATTTACCTCAGAAATATAAATATGAACTCTTCAGACAATCCTTCCGAGAGCATAGTGGCCATATAAAAATTAATATTATGAGCATCGCTTCCCTTAAGGATAAAAAGCCTGGAATTTTTAATACCGAAGAACAGTCCATTTTAAAACCATTTGACGCCTCTCTTTCACCATTAACATGAAGCCCTGCTAATAGTATTTTGACTTCGGTCTATTAGATGCCTAGTTTAAATTATTAGCATTATTATTAGAGTAGGACAACACTGAATCCAAAACGAGTTCTCACTTCAGGTAAAACTTATGCAGCATACTTTGACCCACTTCCAAGTTTAGTCCAAGACTGGTGAGCATGTTCGAATAACCTCAATTTCAATGCATTGTGCCGATACTTATCACATTTGCGTATATAATCTTATGTTTTTCTTGAGATTAATATGCAATTGCAAGACAAAAATATTTTGTCTTAAGTAAGGTAGGCCTATTTTTAGTTGAAACTGCTGGCTAGCTCTGATTAACAAATAAAATAAAATAGCAAATCAACATAAGCTCAATTTTTTTTTATTTATTGATTATTCAATCAATCATTCTATTATTATAGCGTTAATTTACATTTATTTATCTTTCTATTTCAAGTTATGATTATTTTATTGTACAGGTACCTAAAATGTAAATTTGATATTTTTACCAAATATAAACAGGACAAATATTTTAATCAAAATGCTTTGCCATTCACTTTTATGGACATAATTCAGAGCTAGCAATAGACAACAATCTGTTATTGTGGCCAATTATCCACCTCAATGATGTCGAATAGAATGCAGTGATGCTACTCAGTAGCTTAGGTGATACACATCTAATCAATATAGCCCAAGAGATTTTACACGTTGTCAATATCTCTAAACCACCACTCATTCAGACTGCGAGAGCTGGTTATGTGCTTTATTATGCTACCAAATCAATCCAGCGAAAAAAATTAGTTACACCACAGAACATTGTACAGCAGGTAACCCTAAGGTACATCATGCAATGATCATTATGCACTATTACTTCAGAAGAATGGCTTGTAGATTTAGTTCATAATGTCAGTATTTCTAGATTCAGTACAAGGATGCAGACTGATCCAAAACAATTTCGGTACTGTATATTTATTGTCCATAAAAATTCAGCCTGAGGAAAAAGTAATTTTCTAACCTTAGTATTATTATTACAATGGTAATTTTTGTATCAAATAGAAAACATTAAAGTTTTACAATGAAAGAGCCAATTTACTATTGTTTGAATACAATAACTATTAATTGTATGACTTGCAATTTATTTTTTTAAATTACTTTTATTATTAAAAATATTATCATGGTATACTGGAAGGAATTCATTTTAAATTATTTTATAAAGTTGATACATATACTGTAGTTACAGTTAATTAAAAAAAATACAAGATGCCACAATAATAGGTTAGCATTTTATCCTTTATATATGTTTACTCATAAGCTGGTACTGTACATAGCACCCGCAGTTCTAACTTGAGGTCGTACTGCTATAATATCGATACACCCCGCAGCGCTTCCATAAGGATTCAGTCACCATAGCAAACAGATCTGTGTGCTTACCTTGTCACACTCTTAATGGAATTGCAATGGCAATAGTAATTTATAATGCAAAATTGAAATTACAATATGGAAAGTATAGCACATGACTCAAGGAACTTCAACCATTAACGTCAGATATTTATCATATTTGAAAAATAATAATCTGCTTCTAAGTTAAAAGATGTGTTCTTCATTATTGAAAAATCTGAGGTCATAGTTCATTATTGTCTTCAGCTTCCCAAGCTAATGTAACACATCCAGCGACTTGTACACAAAAATATTTCCAAAGGGAAAATAACACACAACAATTGATAAACATTCAAGGAAACATGCATGAGTCAACAGAGAAACGCACTAGCATAACAGGCAACACATGTTCATGCTTCCTTTACGAGTGTTGATGCTTTGCAGTGTGTGTGTCCACAGCTCATTGACTGGCAATGGATTTGGCAATGTATCAACATTTTAGCTGATTAGTAGGATGTGTTCTATTAATCATTTTTCAGAGCATATTTCTAAGCAGAAGGTATTTTAGTGGAGATCTTTGTTGACATTGAGATCTGTACTACTGTAGTGAGGTTCACAGACTCTTTGTTATACCCTACAGCGATTACGTTCGCTTTTGTGTCCCAGCCCACTCACTCAAATTTACTGTTATTTGTATACTGTACCAACAACAATTTTTTGGTGAATAAAGAATAAATCTTAGACGAAGCTTTTAATAGACAAAATTGTTTCAATTGCTTAGTTTGATATATTAGCTATTTGAAAAGTTGAAAAGATCAGTCAATAGGAAAGAGTGTTCCTATAGTGGTAACTGAGTTAAAGAACAATTATTATTATTATTTGTTACACCACACTTTTTATTAGAGATTTACTATACAGTACAGTAAGTAGTTTATGCAGATTGACAATAAATATGTTAGAAATGTTTCCTTAAATAAGAGGATAAATGATACTATTTTCCTTTCCTCTGGTTAAGTTCTCACCTGCAAGAGCTTTAATCCTGGAGCGCTCAAAGAGCTTTGCCCCTCCTTCATCATTATAATCCACATCTGAATTCCGGTAGTCAGCCTCGACAGACATTCTGCCTTTTCTTTAATCTAAAAAAAAAATATAAAGCGATATTGTTTTTTAATCGGCTACATTTTCTTGTTTTCTTTTCTTATTGTTGCCCTTCTTTAACTATTTATTTCCTTTATCTGGAAAGGAAGTAGACTTCCAATACAATTTTTTTTTTCCCTATAAAAACATATGTACACTTTTTTTAATATTAAAAAATCAGTACAATTTTGCCCAGGCTCAGTGTTCTTATATTTTGGCCAAGTTCAGGCTCAAAATGTTCTTATTTTGTTCTATTTTACATGATTTTCAAACAGAGAAAATTGTTATTGTACAGCAGTATAAACTGTACTGGAATGTACGTAAAAGTGGACCCTGAAATAATGGCGCCTAAAAAATAGGCCCAGACAAAAGGCCCCAGTAAATTTGGCCCCCAATGATAGTACGGTAAGTACAGTACACCGACTGTAGGCCTACTGTTTTATATAGTCACAGCTACACATAAAGTAGATATTTTTTGGTTTTCTAGTTATTTTTTTATAAAAATCTTCATTTTACCTTTTACCTTAGCCTCAATTTGTTCTTAATTTTTAGGCGATTTCAGCCTTAGTGTACTTATAAAATGTGTTCTTATAAAAAAATAAGGGTAGTATTTCAACTATAAAAATTTGGTCATAGTTGTTCTTTCTAAAAGCTTCTCTTTCCATGTCTTGAAGTACATCTAGATTTTAATACCAATTTGTGCTAAGAAATATACTACCAATAATGATATTGATTAGATAGATGTCAGATATTTTAAGCATGACTTAAAATAAAAATGTATAAAACATTGACAATCTTGGAGCAGTATTAAACATAAAAAAAAAAACAGGTTATGGAATCCTGATGCCAATCATGGGGAACTTAAAATAAATGATTGCACTACAGAATTCCAGATGGAAGAAACTGATAAAACTCTAAATCGATTGTACAAATTAGGACTATTATTCCAACAATACTACAGTATCTCTTTGGTTACATCTTCTTCTATCACATCAGCTTCATGCAGTGTTAGACCTCCATAAAAAAAAAAGCCAAAAATGTTCTATACAATACCCCAATAACAATGCATAAAGAACGCTTAAATGACTCTGAAAAAAACCTACTATTTGCTTTTTAAGAGATAGTTGTTTAAAAAACAAAATACAGTCCATGTTAACTGTATCTCTGTACGTATAATACCTAATTTAAAATTCTACAAAATTCAATTTTGTCTATCAGAGAAAGTGTTCAAACTTGTAGTGTTTGATTGAGCATAAAATAATTTAAATGTTCACAGAACCTTCCAATTACTATTGTTGTACAATAGTTTAGCTTTGAATTGTGTTAACAATCATGCAGCCAGTGTGAAGGAATGCATTAATTGGTCTTAGCTTGAAAATATTGTTTTTAAGTGTATGAATGTTACGTTCTTTCCAAGAATGTAAAAATGCATTCATGAAAACCTGGCCTTTAGGCCAAGCAAAATGAAAAAAACAAGAACCAACATGTTTCACCCAAAAAGCTTAGACGAGTTTTGAAGATGTTTTGCAATAGGCCAACCAAAACATTTATGCTTAAAAACACTCTCCTCATCAACTCTACACAACCATACACTATTTAAACATTTTTTTTTACAAAAAATATTCTAGCTTTCTACAGTAGTCACTTTTCTGTTAATATTTATACAATATTTATACAATAAACATTTATGAGCACTTAATAATTACAGAACTTTATTTTCCCCCTTCCCCACCAGAAGGTGAAAACATTGCTTCTGTGTGTACAATATATATTTAGTATACCATACAAAAGCAGTAATATAAATCACAGAATATGAGTAAAGGAGAATCAAGTTTCATTTCTCATAGGAATACAGTAGTTTAAATGATTCAAGAGAGCAATGGTTCAATGTACAGTAGATCTCTAATTTCAAGGGGTATGTTCTAATGGAGAGATTTGGAGTATATATTTTTATTAGACTTTACAGAAATGTTTCAGATTCAGACTCCATAAATTCTTGATACCATGGCAACCGTAATGTGTTTATGAATTAGAATCAGAGCTGTAGCTTTAGTTTTAAACTAGAAGTGGGTGGCTAGTAGACATATTAAGGGTGGGTAGCTGATAACATTAGTGAACTCTATAAATAACAATGCATTTTAAGGATGAGCAAGATAAAGGTAGGTGGAAGGACAACAAAATAGCTCTAGACTGGGTGGAAAACTTTAAGGAAGTGTGCCTTCACCCACCTCTACCCACTGTAACTACATCCCTGAGAGTATATTTTTTTTGTGATACTTCACAATATTTTATATAGCAAAGCAATGGCTACTGGTAAACCAGCAATTTACAGCCAACAGCTAACCAATCAATAATACCATTTGCTTGCTCTGGGTTAGCATACTAATTACAAAGTGGAATATCCAGGGATGATTCTATTATTATAATGTACAAGGCAAGTATTATGCTAGGCCTATTGTCTCCTCTTGAATTTGCAACACAACAGACAGCTCAGCATGATGGTGCTCAAGCATTCTTTATGAAGGCCACACATACATGTTTCCATACATTCTCTATGTAGTTATAAAGGTCATACACATTTTTGTATACACTATACAATGTCTGAATACAGTAGACAGACTAGTACGGTGGTAGTGGTATAAATATATAAGGTATAAAGTGTCATAACAAGGGAACTTGTCTAATTTTGTTGATAATTAGATATTTACATATTTAATATAATGTTGTTCATCACAAAGTTTTAAATTCTATCTGCCAAAATAAAAAAAAAATATAATGCCTTATTATAACCACAAAAAATACTGAATGGCCTACTTAAAATGGTCCATTATGGTTAATTTCTTTACTTCCAATAATTCACTAATAATTCACAAATAATAGGAAAAAAGTGTCATTGATACTAAATTTAACTATGAATTTGCTTAAATTGACACCAACAAAACACATCATATTAAAATTATGCAATGAATACTTTAATGTTCACTGGAGAAAATTTTAAGATAGTGATTAAGTTTTAATTAAGTGATAATTAAATGTGTCTGTTCGGGGTCATCCAATTTCACAGGAGTACAAACTAGATAGAAGGATCAATATAGGGTCTGTATAGAAAAATTTAAAGTATATGGTCTTAAAGCGACAGCAATCACCATTAAGGCCAATAAAAAAAATATGCTTTCTAGCATCACCACCCCCACCTGAATTTTCGAGCAAAAATAAATTTGTTATGTATTATTCTAGGAGGGCAAAGGGGGAGGGGTGTCAAATAAAATACCATGTTTGGTATTGTCTTGATAATAAACATGTGAACTTTTAATTTTCTCATTCTAATTTTCAAATACTAATGATATTAACATACGACGTAGGCAATCAAAATGCTAATTCATAGTCAGTCTTTGTGCTTATTATCCTATTCAGTCCACATAATTCCATGACAGATACTAAAATGGACCATAGCACTGGGGTAAATTTTTACTCCTCTGAAAGGTCAAATGGGTTCTTTACAGTGCATGCGAGCCAAGTGTGAACAAAAAACCTCTCACTTTAAGTCATTATCCAAAGAGACTTATTTCTACCAAACCCTGGGCGGGGATTACTTTGAACCATGGATGACGGAAAGCATGCTCGGACCGGCACCCAGGTTGAGGCTGTAAGTAGTTAGGGGCACCCCTGACATACCACTCAGTCATTTGACTTGCCCAATATACAACTGTTCAGTAATGTAAAATTTCCAACGAACAAATGTGTAGAATTACTACATTCAACCAAATCATGCAAGTGTTTCCTATATAATGCATGATAAACAACTTAGTAATGAATCTCTTCAACAATAAACGTGTTTGGCAATTGATGTAATTTGATTGGTCAATGTAATAGCATGTAAACAGTGAACACCTACACAAATGCAAGTGAAGCTTGAGAAATTAATTCTCTTAAGTGGTCTATGAATGGGTATATACCTACAGTACATAGCACAGACTTGTGTACATTTGGATGTTCACAAGGTCTGATGTTGGATAAAACAAAATTATAAAATTCAATACTTGCATTGTTATGTATTAGATATAATCTATGTTTTCATTTTACAATAGTTCAGTATATGATATTAACTGACAAAACACTTTATTAGTGACAACTTATGAAACTATAAGTGGATTTACAATCAGTCTCAAATGCATTTTTGTAAAAGGACCAACCAGGGATGTGTTTGTCCTAGATGGCAGAGAATGGGAGTTAGGCCAAAAATACTAGACTGTGAAAGATAACAGGAATGAATGGCACGTATAGTACCTCTCATAAAATACAACAAACTGTGATGATACATTGAAATATTAAAAGTCTGTTTTTAATCTTCTACCTTTAGATCTTAAAAAGGCTAATGATCTCACAACTGATACATTCACCAAGTCAAAATGATGTGTATGAATTTTTTGCACTTATTTGCTCTTCAGTAAAACCACAGAAATCAGCTGCAGGGAAAAAATTCTATACAGTATTATAGTAGTAGTAAGACTAAAACTCATTCATAACATAGTTCCAAAAACCACTTACTATGCTTGTATGGTGTGCAGTCTGGTTATTGGACAATTTAAACCACACACAAGATAATAAACTGTAGTTACTGTAGTACCACAAATGAAGGTTGTTAGCTCTCACCAATTGTAATGGTTTGCACACCTTTATATTGTACACAATAGAAAAAGCCTCACGATTAAACAAACTGAATTGGTAATACATAATAATCAAGACAATCTACATAAGAAATTTATGTTCAGGGCTAAATAAGCAGCTAATAAAACTCAAGACATATGAAATGAAAGGGTAATAATACTACTTGTTAAAATGGGCACAACTAACTAGGTTTAATAATAAGCTTTTAATTAACTATAAATGTTTATTCACTTCTACCATTTTCTATCGGTGTCATAAAGTATGATACTAAAGTTTTATGACAGTAATAAAGGTTCTTGAATCTGTCTATAGACTATCAAAAAATTATAAG